TCTAAACTGTATAAATAATGTAAAATTAAATTGAATTTATTAGCCAATCAGACGAACTTCTGCCTATGTATGTAATAGGCGGAGATCAGAAGATCGTTTTGGACTGAACCGAACCGATCCAACCCTAATGTAGTGATACATTATTTGCTTTTTTTGGAAAAGATATTTGTTTAAAATCGATTACCTTTGTTGACATTTTCAAAGCCACAATAACACTCTTCCCTAACCTTTTGTTTGTGATCATGTCTCAATCAAGAGAATCTTCAACACTTCATGATGCAGAACGAGAACAATTCTTAAATTCAAAATCTTCCTCAAGAATTGCTTTAACCGTTGTTGATTCTGGAGTAGTTGATGAGAATGAAGACTCATTTTACGAAGGTGAACGAAGAACGGGCTTAGATTCAGTAATTGCAAATATCGGATTTGGAAAATTTCAAAAGCAATTATTGGTTTGTTTATTTATATTTCAATTTTGTTACATGTAAATATATTTATATAAACTATTTTAAAGGTACTTTGCGGTTTCGGTTGGCTTGCTGATAACGTGAGAAACTTTTTTTCTTCTTGATCGGTTTCTAAACTAGAAATCTAGAAATTTGATGGTCTACATATACATTTTTTTTTTATTGATTACTTTAGATGTGGTTACAGGTATTTTGGACTATCATGATCTGTATAGTTAATCTTTATTAGTGAGTTGTTTTATTTACCTATTCTTTAATCCCAATTAAATAGTGCGTAACGTTGATACTACCGAGAGTTCAAGGTTAGTAGTGTTAAACATTTTTATATGATGTAAAAATGGTGATGGGAACACTCGTCACCCTTACTATAAGTTCTCATTAGGGTTGTTAAACCCATCAGAACTAAAGTCAAGAGGTTTAATGAGATCGGACTAGTCCTATCAATATTGGAAAAATCCGTGTTGCATTATTCATATGGCTGCTCATAAGTAGCTATGAGTCAGTCAACTTAAATGACTGACTTTAGTAAACTTTTAACAACTCTAATTCTCATATGTTGCCGTATTCTTGCATTCCCTTATTGTCGATCATGATAGTTCATTATCAGGTGTCAAATTCGGTAATTGGCTTTCTATCTAGTTCCGTGACTTTTGGTATGATGTTCGGTGCATTATTTTGGGGTGTCTTTTCTGATTCTTATGGACGTAAACAAGCTTTCAATTGGACTTTGGCGGTGACTGCTTTTTTTGGTATATTTTCAAGCTTTGCGCAGAGTTTTACCCAATTATGCTTTTTACTCTTTTTTTTGGGGTTTGGTGTTGGTGGAAATTTACCGGTAGATGGTAGGCCTCTTTTTATACATGTGAATATGTGGATACATTTAATTCACTCTATTAATTGGATTAATTGGGTTTATAGGTACAATTTTCTTGGAATTCGTCCCCAAAAACCAGCAGCATCTTCTTACATTTATGTCTATATTTTGGCCATTTGGAGGTGTTATTACCTCTATAGCTGCATATATGATATTGCCTCAAAATAGTTGTCCTGAAATTGATGTTATTTCCTCTACCTGTGATATTTCAAAAAATAACGGATGGAGATATTTGTTGGGTACTTTAGGAGGTTTGGTAAGATTATCACTTTGGAAATTTTTTATTTTAAAATGTTTTTAATTTCTCTTTTTTTTCCTCCTTTTTAGACATTTATTATGCTTATAGGTCGTGTGCTTTTCTTTGGCCTTAAAGAATCTCCAAAATTTCTTATGGCACGTAACAGACATCATGATGCTGTAATAATTTTACGTGATATAGCCCAAATTAATGGTCGTGACATTTCAATTGAAGCTAGTGATCTAATAGTATCTGATGAATCTCCTCGCAGAGTATCCATATCAATGACATACCCACCTGCCACTATACTCTCTGATAAACATTATCAATACAAAGACTTTTTAGTTGATCCTATACATTTTATAAAATGTCGTATTGCAACAAAACGTCATGATATGGCTCCTCTTTTTACACCCAAATGGATTAAAACGACTATTCTCGTATGGATGATATGGTCTATAGTATCAATGGCATTTGTAATGTTCAACGTGTTTCTTCCAAAATATCTTGAAGCGTTGGCAATGGGTAATGAGTCTGATAATTCGGATGTGTTAACTCAAGTTTTGAAAGATATACTTATATATTCTGCTTGGGGAATACCGGGTTCTTTAATTGGGACTTGGTTAATTGATACACCGCTTGGTAGAAGATATACAATGGCAGCTGGTGCTTTCGGCACATCTCTTGCCGTTTTCTTGTTTTCCGTTCTTACAACAAGAATTGGAACAATTATATGTTGTTCATCTATTAGCTTATTCACTACTATTAAATATGCGGTTATCTACGGATATACTGCTGAAGTATTTGAAACAAAAGTCAGGGGTACTGCAAATGGGATTGCTTCTGCATGTGCAAGGATGTGAGTTTTTTCTTAGTTACTTGATATACTTAGTTTCTTTACTCATCACTGATATAATATCTTTAAAATACTACATATATTTATAGAACTGGTGTAATTGCCCCAGTGATCACGGGTAATCTCTTATCAATAAACTTGACAGTACCGATATATGCATCAGCCACTCTTTTTTCAATAGCAGGTGTTTGTATGGTTTTGCTGCCAATTGAAACTAAAGGACGGCAAGCATTATAAAATTAGGTACCAAAATTAGTTTAGCTTGCAATATGATGATATATTAGAATACAAATATAATAAGAACAAAAAAATTTATATTTTTAAAGTTTTAATATCTTTTTTTAGATTTTAGATAAATCTCATTTTACTAAAAGTAAACAAATTAAATACAAATAGACACATTATATTCTTGGGTTTGGTCATTAATTGAGACTCCTATTTTATCATATTATTTATGTAAGGTACTTATAAGGATTCATGATACCAATTGGATCAATACTTTGTTTTATCTGTTTCATCATGTTGATCATTTTTTGTGATTTAGAATATCCTATACAACCAGCTTTCATTAGACCTAGACCATGTTCTATGTGTGCAGATAAATAAGGTTAGGAAGGCTAGAATAAAAAAAAAAAAGTGAAATAAAAGGATACTACCTGCTGATATAGATCCTTTATGTTTCTCTAGAATCAAAATATTTAATAAATATATCACAATTAATATTATTTGTAAGAAATTATAAGTACTTCTGCCTACCTGTCCATTCATAAACATAAGGCTCTGTCAGTTTGGCAACCTCTGGAGAATATGATTTTGCAACGATATTTAAGTGTAAATTACCTATTAAATGACAAATTAATAAAGATAAGTAAATATTTCTACTAAAATGTGAAATGTAAACAGTGAATCACTTTTAAAAAGGAACTCACCGTCACCAATGTGACCGAACCCAAAGACATCTGTTACAAGTTTATCCTTGCCAAATATACCAGCATCCTTAAACCTATTGCTCGTTTCTTCAACTATATTGTAAAAAACTGGCACTGGTATAGATAGATCATATTTATACACTGAACCAGACTTACTACCAGCCTCAGGTATCCCTTCTCTAATTGCCCATAGATTTTGAATTTGTGTATTATCTTGCGCGACAACACCATCTTTGACAACTCCCTTCTCCATTAAAATTTCCATAAAATTATAGAGTTTCTAAAAACAAACAAATAAATAAATAAAATAAATAGTAAAGTAATAATGAAACTCCAAGATTGATTGTTTACTATAGTTAGAAAATTAGACCTACTTCTTCGTTGTGATCCTTATTGGAGCCGCTGGTCTCAACCAAAACGTAAAAGGGGTACTTGTCATCTAATGGAAAATTTGCTCCCTGAACAAGATGATTTTTTACTAATTTAAGCGCATTAATATCCCAGAATTCAAAAGCTATATACATCATCCAAAGTTAGTATGCGTATATTATACAATATTAACTAAATTTTAAGGCTTTTATTCAATACCTGACAAAATTTCTGATAATTCTCCTTTGGATATAATAAATGCTTCTTGGACATTTTGAAAAGAATTTAAGCAAAATACAGCGACATTGACCGACTATCAGATAATAAATGTTGAGTCAATCAAAATAACAAAAAAAAAACTTTTATATAAAGTCGTTCTTATACCTTAGGGCGCTTTGGTGTTAAAATTGATACCCCGGTAATGATACCCAGAGTACCTTCTGAACCAATGAATAAATGTTTAATATCGTAACCTACATTTGACAATATAGTTATTTAAAATACATGAGATACGTATGCCATACACAATAGTATCAAATATCCATATCATCCCACCAGTGTTATCTTTACGGAGTGTCGAAAGATTATCTAATATGGTTCCATCGGGAAGTACCTGTTTAAAATATTGTTTAAAATATTGCTTAAAATAGTTCGCTCATTTACACAAACAACGTTACGTGTAGACTCATAGCATTACCACTTCTAATCCTAATACAGTGCCATGAAGAGAACCGTACCGCAATAATCTTATCCCGCCAGCATTCGTTGCAACATTGCCACCAATATGACAACTAATACATATTTAAGATATAGCAAAATTTCGGAAATATGAAAACAGAAAAAAAAAAAAGAAATCATTTACCTGCCCTTGGCACCTAAATCCAACGGTATCATATAACCTTGTTCAGCAAGATAATTATCAAGTGCCTCAAGAATGCAACCAGAGTCACACACGAGAGTACCTATTGTGCAAAAAAATCAATCCATATTTCATTTTTTTCATATATAGAACGAAAATTTATAAATTCATACCAGATATAGGATCAAAACTTCTTATTCTATTTAAATTATTAGTACTAATAACAATCTCATCAAATACTGGTACACTACCACCTACAATATTATGGTTAATATCTATGAGGCAAAAAAATTTTTATTCAATGTTTAAATATTCTTACCAACAAGGCCAGTATTTCCACCTTGAGGTACGATAGCCAACTTTTTCACGTTACAATACTCGACTAACTTTGAAATTTGTGCAACAGTTTTAGGTTTTGCTACTAATTTTGATTTCCCTCTATATTTTTTCATCCAATCTGTATTGTAGGGTATTAAATCATCTTGATTATTGCCATTATCTACAATTAATTCACTAGGTGATAAAATTGATTGAAAAAATTTAATGTCATCTGGAGAAAGCTACACAATTTTAACAAGAATTTGCGTCAATTAAGATAAACAACATTTAAAATTTGTTTTTAATTTCAACTTACTTCTTTAAAATTCGGGTTTCTTTTCAAGTGAGTATAAATATCAGTGGTGTAATTAACTGCTTTTGACGACTCGTTTTTATGTATTTCGGCGGTTTTTACTGTTTCATTTTCAAGACTTGCATAGTTTCGTCGTTGTATGTTAAAAGTTATAAGTTTGAAATTGCGTAAAAAAGTTCTTTTATATGGAGCTCTGCAAACTAACTGAAGTAAACTTTGTGAGGTCTTCATTATGCAAAAGAGAAGAGCATTGAAAAAGCAGTTGATATACAGGCTGATTTTAAATTTTTTTTTTAAAACGAGATAAATATGTCGAAGATTGGCATCGAGATCAAGTGTAACATTTTAGAATACGAAATCTAAAGATTAGAATACAACTTTTATTTAGAAGTTATTTACGATTTTATTGGCTACAATCAGCAATGATCTGTCACAGATGCAAAACATTCATTTTTGATACTTCTGCACCTACTTTTTTGATACATCTACCAGTGTTGGTAGCAATAGACGAATAGATGAATAGAACAATAACAATAGAATAGGCAATAGAATTTAGAATAGAATAAAATCAATAGAACAAAAAATTGCCAACAAGATTATAATTATATAGATATTAATTAGGGCTCTGTAAATGCCCATGCCGGAAAAATTGGCACTATGCCAGGCACTAGTGCCTCATGCCATGCCCATACCTATAGGCTCAAAACTGCCAGGAATTATTATGGGCATGGGCACAAATGCCAGGTACTTTATAAGCATAAGCACAATATGCTAGGCAAAAAGATGCCAAAAAGTGCCAGGCACAAGTGTCAAATAGTACCAAACATATAATTAATTAATAAATATTAAATTTTTGTACCCATACCCATGCCCATGCCAAGTTTTCATGCCTGTGCTTATGCTTATATCAAATTTTTGTGCCTATGCTTATGCCTATGCCAAATTTTTATATTAGCATTTATGCCCATGCCAAAGCTTTCATGTCTATGCCCATACCTGAATTTTTGTTGAGCATAGGCACAAGCCTGGGTTGCAGATCCCTATTATATATACACAATCACTATATACTGGCAATTATAAATAATGCAACAAAAAAAATTTAGTTAGATTATATTATCTTATACAATGCCAGATGTATTTATTAGTTTTTTTATTTTATTTGTAAATAATGTTTTTTCTAATTCTGAAATTTTAATCATTATTATTGTTATTGCAAAATAATTATATATGTAATACAAAACATATATTGTATTATTTTTAATTAGTTTTAACAAAAATTAGAATACAAAATTTGTATTATATAAATATATATAAATATATATAAATCTAAGTTTTTATTATTTTTTTTATATTAAGACTGATGTTAATAATAGCTAATGTTTTTATTTGCATTTTTAGTTAATACATTATATCTTACTTGTACAGAATAAGCATACAACTAGTCATATATATAATTTTTAATTACTTATTTAAGTAGTTTACCAGAAGGTTCTATATTAGCTGTTATACTTATAATCTACTAGAAGACTATCTAATTAAATACTCTAATTTCAATACTGCATTCAGGCAATTAGTTATCTTACTTTTTATATATTTAAATACTGTCTAATCCAACATTATGTCTTTTTTTATTTATATCTGTCAAGCTGTTACCCAACTTCAAAGTATGTCACTTGACTGTAAAACTCAGAGAGCCTTCTTGTTAACTAACCTATCTACTCTATAAACTATTAATAGAGCTTAAGTTTTTATTATTAATTTTGCATCTTGTCAATATTATAATTAATTAATAATTAAATAAAAAAAAACTGTATAACTTTCATTTAATAAGCCTAAATATTATTTTTCTTTTTAAAAAAACACATTATAAGAGAAATAGATTAAACTTATAATATCAACTTTTTATAGTCCTATAAATTAAAAAAATAATTAATAAACTATTTACTTATAAATTTAAAAAAATTTAGTTATTTACTTTTATTAAATAAATTAACCCAAAGAAAAATAATAAATTTTATTATCTTTTATTATTGTTCTATTATTATTGAAGTAAAAACTTATCTTAAAATAAATAAAAATATTAAAGTTTTAATATTTATTATTTATTAAATATTTTGAAGTTATAGTTAAATATTAGAAATAAAAAAATCTTATCTAAATAATAATTATTAAAAAATAAAGGTTATTTTTATAAAATTAGTTTATCAAATATTAGTTTA